AGGAGATGTGTTGAAGGAGGCTGAGGGGCCGGGGGGAAGCGGAGATAGCGCCTCATATTATCTCGGGGAAGGAGAGGCCCGAGACAAAGAAACGGAATCACGAAAAGAAGTTTCGAGAACCTGAGAGACGGGAAGACCGGAGAGAGGACGGAAGCTGAAAACTAGAGCGATCGAGTGCAAGAAGATACGGGTTCCGAGAGAGGCCCAGGGAGACCGGGAGAGAAATGTGATCGCACCATGAACTTGGGAGATAGGAAAGCAAGATCAGAGTGGAAATTAGGAAACGGGAATAGAAGAGGACAATTTAAATGGGAGACCGACAGGCTTGTTCATCTTAACAAAAGTTTACTAACGAAAATGGGTTTATTCAGGAATAGAAAATTGTGATTTGGGATAAGCAAGCTGTGGCAAAAACCATAGGCTAGTGCAACAAAACAGAGGGATGGTATTTCATGGAGAAGAAAGAAGTTGGGGGGATTTGTGCTTAATGAAAGCCCATTGGAGAAAAGCAGGTGATCAGGGTGATGGCAGTTTCTCCTTGGCTGAGTTGCAAGAGGAGCTGGTTTTTTGTGGGAGGCGGAACGTATGTCTTTCCCCGTTGGGGTTTGGAATTGATGGGGAGAGTGGTAGGGCAGGAGAGTTCCCCCCTTCTGGCTTCCTGATACCATTTTAGTGAGGTTTCCCTTTATAGATTTTCACAGACCGAACCATGGGGGGATGACTGACAGATACGGAGAGATGGAGACAGTAAACGGGGAGAACCTGACACGCTGGCAGAGGATTGAGAGAAGAGCCAGTGGAGGGAAGGGGAGTTGGAGAGAAAGCGAGAGATGTGAGCCGGCTGGGAACTGGGTGACAAACGCAGATGGAGCGAGCAGTCCTGAGTGTAGTGAAATGGAGGGAGATGAACTTGGACAGTGCAGGTGGAGTCATGGGGAGAGTCTGCAGAACCGAAAATCAGATAAATGGAGAGAGATGGGCCCAGTGTCACCTTACAAATGGAGGGACAGAGCCAGACATGCAAAATCAAGCTGAAAAAATGAAGAAAGGACTAGATGGAGCCTGAATCCCTAGATTTGAATTCCTCATTTGCCGCTTAGTACTTAGCCTCTCTGTGGCTCAGTACCTTGAGGAGTGATGATAGCACCTTCTTAGGGTTGTGAGGAGAGCATAGGTGTGTGTGTGTGTGTGTGTGCGCGCGCAGGCGTGCGTGCTTATCAATACGCTTGATTCAGTGCAGTACCTGATAACGAGTGATCACTAATCTAGCTGTCATTAAAGCTTCAGACGATTGGGAGACAAAATATTCAATGGAGAAGTGGAGGGAGATGATGAGGTAGTCATGATGGCAAATGAGGACTGGAGAGACAGAAATGGAAAAGGGAACTGAGGAGGTATGAAGAGGACAAATGGGGAAAGATGGCTGCAGAGGATTATCAGACTAAAATCAGATTCATGGAGAGAGATGAGCCAGACCAGGAAAGGGAAGAACTGAGAATGTTGAGCAAGGTGGGCTGAAAAAGACAGACTGAGACCTGAAGATGGAGAGGCAGGAGAGAGAGAGGGAAACCAAGCAAACCTCTAAGACAGGAGCCTAGAAAGGTAGTCCGAGAGACCAAGCGACGTCAGAGACACAGTTACAGAGAAACTACAGATCCAGAGAATCTAAAGTAGCCAAGGGAATAGACTCCTCGAGAGCTGTGGGGATGCTCTCAGTTGGGTCCATGTGTACAAAGGCAGCTTGCAGCCTGATGGGAATTCTCTCCCTCTCTTTCCTAGTCCTTCCCTGAGACTCACTGGCTCAGTATCCCAGTAGCCCTGTCCCTCTCCTTTTCCCTCAGAACAGGAATTCCCTCTGAAGCTGCTCTAGCATCACCCAGCCCGGGTGTTTACCAGTAAGTGATGCGCACTTCCCACAGGCTCCTGCTTCAACAAGAAATAACTCTGCCAGCTCACAAGTTCTTCCTCGGTTGAAACCTGTATCTGGCTCTAACTCTCGGTTGGCCTGAGTTCCCCCTGAGACCACAGAGGTCAGATCTCCCAACCGTAATGACCCTTGAGACAACAATGCAGAGTAGGTGAAAGCATTGCTAATAGCCTTATGAAGGCAAAGTGTCCCAAATACTACACTGTTTTGAGATGGGCATTGTCCCATTTTGAAGATGAAGGAAATAGCCTCAAAGAAGTTAATTCGCTCATGATCACACATCTAGTGAATAATGAAACTGAGATTCAAACCCATACCTGCCTGATGACAAAACCTTTACCAAGGAAGGCTGAGAATCAATTTAAGTTCATGAACTCTTTTAAGAATCTGAGTGATGGACTTCCCTTCAGAAAACTGCACAGGTGAAGGTATGCCTTCTATTGAGGATTTAAGCAGTTGAGAGAAACAACTTCAAGCACAAATACACTTTATTGTGTAGCTGAAAAAGGGAGTGTTGAAGGGAATTAAGCTTCAAGCACTAAATGCCGTCTTGTTGCTTGGTGACTGTACTTGCGCGTGCCTCATTGTGCCCATGGGAAGCTTTTCTCTTAAGATAGATTTCTAGGAAAGATTGTATCATGTTTAATTGCTCCTTATTTCTGTCATCCTTGCCCAGGGATCAAATGAGGGCTTTCTATCCTGGCAACCTAGTGCAAATCCTAGAGGAAGGCCTTGATTGGCCCTCTGCAGGTCATGTGTCCAGTTCTTAGCCCAAGTGCTGCTTAAGGAGGTACTATGATTGGCCAGGCCTTTGTAGCTTGCCCAACCAATAGGGGTTCTCTGACTTAATTATAACTATGTGGAATCTGAGGAAGGTGGATACTGTTACCAGAAAAAGAAATACCAGGCAGGCAAAAACAGTGTGTAACATGCTTGCAAAATTGTGCATTAATTTCAAAGGTTCCTGGGAGTTCCTGAAGTTCAGTGAACCCTGGATTTAGAACCCTTGCCTTATTTAGTATATTACACCTCTCTCCTGACAAAGTTCTGTTGTGGATTGGCCATGTGACGTATGTTCCTTCAGGCCCCAGATCAAACGTTTCCTCTTCTGAGGCTCCTTCCCTGACTCCAAAGCATGATCAGGCAGTTCCTTTGGGTTCCTGTAGCCCGAGTCACTGGATTGTCAGAGTCTGCTGCGATGTCTGTCTCTTGCACCTGACCGTGACCACCGTTCGGGTTCAGGGTGGCCTCACTCATTACTGTCGCTCTTCCTAGTCCAGTGCTTTCAAAACTGCAAGCTTTCAGTAAATGTTTCTAAAAATGAATGTCTTCTGTTCTCTCCCCACAGCATTCAAGGTCTGAAAACCCAGGATGAACTTGTGTCCATCCACAGGTCACTGCAGGAGTCGTGAAGTGCCCTGTGTGTCAGCAGCTCGACCCAGGTCCTGGCCGCTTGCTCTGTCATCGCCTGTGGTGGGCCTGTGCCATCAGTGAGGAGGGGAATTGGCTCTTGGGAGAGGCAGCATTCCCTTAGTGCAGGCACTGGCTTCTCAAAACTGCAGGAGGCGGCGTGGACGAGAACATCTGGTCTCAGGGATCAGAACGGAGGCCAGTTTTGGGACAGTGCTGTGATTAGCCACGGCATGCCTCCTCCCAGAGTTAAGGAGGGCAGGGGTCACCGAGACCGACCCTGGACTTCCAGTGAGGAGGAGGCCGTGAAGAAATGGGACTGGAATTGTCCAGAGACACGTCGCCTCCTCGGGGATGCTTTCTTCCGTGATGAAGATTACATCCGGCAGGGTTCTGAGGAGTGCCAGAAGTTCTGGACCTTCTTTGAGCGCTTGCAGAGATTCCAGAACCTCAAGACCACCAGGAAGGAGGAGAAGGACACCAGGCATCCTGGGCACCGCGTCCCAGCCCTGGCCGACCTACCTCGCACTTATGACCCACGTTACCGCATCAACCTCTCGGTCCTTGGCCCCGACACTCGGGGCTCTCAGGGGCTGGACAGGCACTTGCCCCCCGAGAGAGTGTCCGAGTTCCGCCGAGCCCTGCTGCACTACCTGGACTTCGGCCAGAAGCAGGCGTTTGGGCGGCTGGCCAAGCTGCAGCGGGAGCGGGCAGCGCTTCCCATCGCCCAGTATGGGAGCCGCATCCTGCAGATGCTGAAGGAGCACCAGGTGGTGGTGGTGGCCGGTGACACGGGCTGCGGCAAGTCCACACAGGTGCCGCAGTACCTGCTGGCTGCCGGCTTCAGTCACGTGGCGTGCACCCAGCCGCGGCGAATCGCCTGCATCTCCCTGGCCAAGCGCGTTGGCTTTGAAAGCCTCAGTCAGTATGGTTCTCAGGTGAGGGGGACATTACAGGTGTCCGGTTTTTCCAGTGTGAGCTGGAGGACTAAGTTGCTTGCCCAGACGGTAGTATCGATAAAAGCTACAAAAGCATTTACCTTGACCCAGCGATGACTCCTCTAGAAACTCATCTGCAGGTTGACCTGATAAGGTCCAAATACAAAGGCACTAATGTTGCCCCATGTAGCTCTTGAACAGTGAGAAATTGGAAATGTCCTAAATCAGTCTTTTTTTTTAGCAGCCATTAAAAAAAGGATGGGGACCCTTCCTCACTAATGATTTCTACGGTTCTAATCCAAGCTCTACCACCTAAAAACGGTTATTGAAGTTGTAATCTAAGCTTAGAAGGATCATGTATCATAAGTATGTAGCTGAGTGAGTTTTCCCAAACTGAATATATTATGTAACCAGCACTCGGATAAAAAAAACCAAGTTTACCAGACCCCAGAAATCCTCTTGTTTCTCTCCCATTCCAGTTATTGCCTTGAGGCCCCAAGGCTTGTCACTATTCTGAGTGATAGGTTATTGTCCTTGTGCTGGATTATGACACTGGAGTTAAAGATAGAACATCACAGATTTTTGCTTCTTTCCTTTACTTTTATAAATGGAATCCTGAAGCGCATTCTCTTTTGAGCCTGGCCTCTGTTCGGTCGTAGCGGTGAGCTTGATCTGCGGTGCAGCGTGTAGCTGCGTGGCGTTCCACTTGGAAGCCCCCAGCCTCTGTTGCTGGGAATTGCGCGTTCCCAGTTTGGGGCTCTGGTGTGAAAGTGCTGCTATAAACATCCTAGAACATACCTATTGGTGTCTTTTGGTACATATTTCTGTTGGGCGTATATCTAGAACTGGGATGGGTGGGTCATCAATTCTGCATATATGTTTAGTTTTAGAAGATACTGCCAAACCATTTTGCAAAGTGATCCTGCCGATTCACACTCCTACCATTGGTGTATAGCGTGTTCCACACCACCAACCCTTTGTTATCGTTAGTCTTTTTCATTTTGGCTTCTCTGGTGGGTGTGTAGTGGTGTTATATTTTAATTTGCATTGTGGGTCATTTTGCATTTCCTCGATGACTAAGCACCTTTTCATGTTTTTATTAGCCGTTTGGAGGTCCTCTTTTGCGACATTTTTCCCTGCTCACATCTTTTTCCCATGTGTCTTTTGTGTTGTCCTTGTTCTTAATTTATAGGGCTTTGTAGATTCGGGATATGAGTCCTTTATAGGATTTGCATACTGCAAATCTTGTCTCCTACATTTGAATTGTCTTTCATTTTCTGAATTGTGTCTTTTAATGATGTTGTCTTTTCATTTAAATATAATCCAGTCTCTCATTTTCTTTTTGTGGTTGACAGTCTTTGGATTCTGTTTAAGAAATATTTGTGGACTCTTAAAGTCTTAAAGATGGTCTATGTCTTTTTCTAAAAAATAATTACATTTAGAGCTATAGCCGTAATTCATCTGAAATCAATGTGTGTGTCTGGGTATGGCGTGAGGTAGGGGTTAAGATATGTTTCCTCTCGATACCATTTTTTAGCCATGTTACCGTGTATGAGTGACCTCAGTTCCCCCATACGTGGGGTGAGAATAAGGATAGCTCTCATGTTGCTTAATGGTTGAGAGGATGAAGTGAGCTGGTACGCGTAAAGCATTTAGAGGAATTCCTGGCACAGAGGAAGGACTCAAAGAAAGGTTAACTATGAATAATTAGTATCATATACCAGGCTGCGTGCCAAACACTTTATGTGTATCCCACCACCAGCATCCAGGTGGAAAATGTGTTTGAGGGATGGGACTGCTTGCCCCAAATCCGAGGCGCTGAGCAGTGAACGTGGCTTCCAAACCCAAGCCTATGGGACTCCAGGGTCTGACTGGGGCGGGGGCGGCATTTGCTCAGGTTTTTGTTTGGGGCAGGGTGAGCAGCTGGTGCCCCAGCCCAGGGCCCTGTCCTGACTGCACCCTCCCCACCCCAGGTTGGCTACCAGATCCGCTTTGAGAGCACGCGTTCAGCGGCCACCAAGATCGTATTCCTGACGGTGGGGCTGCTGCTGAGGCAAATCCAGCGGGAGCCCAGCCTGCCGCAGTACCAGGTCCTGATCGTGGACGAGGTCCATGAGCGGCACCTCCACAACGACTTCCTCCTGGGCGTCCTCCGGCGTCTGCTGCCCCGGCGGCCTGACCTCAAGGTCATCCTCATGTCGGCCACCATCAACATCTCGCTCTTCTCCAGCTACTTCGGCAGCGCCCCCGTGGTGCAGGTGCCGGGGAGGCTCTTCCCCATCACGGTCAGTGCCGGCCCTCCCCCACATCCCCAGTCCGCCCGCCTGGTCTCTGGCCAGCCCAGACATGGCCTTTCTCTGAGGCTGTCTGCCATCCTTCAATTCAGGACATTCTCTTTCTCTCTATTTTGAAGCTGCCATGTTTTCTGACTATTTACAATGTGCTGGGCAGAGTACTAAGTGCTTCTTAAAGGAGACCCAAGAGCATAAAGGCTCAAATAAGATAGAAGTTTCTTCCTTTTCTATAATAGTCCAGCTGGCCCAGGCTGGTGGCAATGCTGTTGCGTGTCCTTCAGGGACCCAGGCTCCTCCTCTCTCCTTGTTCTACCATCTCATAGGGCAGAGTTTCTCCTACTCCATATTCTTGCCATTTGGGGCTGGATCATTCTTGGTTGTGGGGCTGCCCTGTGGATTATAGGGTGTTTATAGCACCCTGGCCCCTACCCACCAGATGTCAGCAGCATTCTCCTCCCTGAGTTATGATGGCCAAAAATGTTTCTGTATGTTGCTAAATGTCCCTTGGGGGCAGAGCCCCCCTCCAACCCCCCCAGTACCAACCACTGTCCTAGGGAGTTGCCCTGGTCTGTGTGGTCAGTGTGGGGAGAGGGAAGGAGCCTCAGCCCAGGAAAGCTGTGTCTTTAGGTGGGACGTGACCTCGCAGCTGCTTCCATCTCATCTCTGAGCCCCACTGGCTGCAGGGAAGCTGGCAAATGTCAGCTCTCTCTCAGTGACAGCGTGCCAAGGAAGGAAATAACAGACTTTCTGGGGACACGATGGGTCTCCCACACCACTCGACATGCCTGATCCCCCCCATGCCCACAGTGGTCCTGGGGTGGGCCTGACTTGCCCGCATGTCATTAAACACGCCACCCACCTGAGATGCAGCTGCTGCTGAAGAAGCTGAACAAGAGACAGACCTTCTGGGTGAAAGAAAGAGGAGTATGGTCTTCATGAAATGTAATGTTTTCTAGGTCCTCTTATAATTTTCTTGACTCAAACTAGGTGGAGAGGCTTTTAGCACCCCAAATCTTCAGTTTCCCCAGATGCTTTTTCCATACAGCCCCCCTATCTTCCCACCTGTCTGCTGTGGCTTGCATATTGGTTTTGTCAATAATAATTGCTCCACAATTAGCACACAGGAGCTCATGCGAGCCCCTTACCACAGCCTTGGTGTTGCGGTGCCAGGAATTTCTACCCACTAGGGTAAAACTGATGCTTAGAGATGGACTTGACTCCCGCCCTCAGACAGACGTGGCCCTGTGCTGCGTCGCCTTTGTTTGCCCTTCCAGGTCCCCTTTTCCCTTGCTCACCTCCTGTCTTTCCCAGGAGGCTGACCGCTAATGGACCGTCTCCTGCTGGCTTCTGGTCGGCTGGTCCCTGGGCCTGCAGTGGGCTGTGTCCCTCAGCTGAAGTCCCAGCTGCTTTCAAGTCCAGCTGCACTCTCCACCCAGTTCTCTCCTTGGTGGTTTTGATAACCACTCCTTCCTCTTGTAGCTTTGGACCAAAAATTGGTAACAGCTCTGAAGTTCTGGCACCAGGGAACCACACTGTCCCTTGTGGCTTCTGGTTCTAAGTACCCATCATCCTGTCTTCTAAGCAGCCATAAAAAAGAGTGAGGATGCTTTTTGAGAGGTGATTTCTAGAGTTTTTATCCTGGCTCCACCTGTTAAAATGTTGTTGTTAAAGTTATACTCTGAACACAAAAGATTGTGTGTATCGTATGTGTGTAGCTTAGTTTTCACAAATTAAATGCCTATATGCAGTCATCACCCAGATTAAAAACATATCAAACATGACCAGCACCCCTAAAGCCTTCCAGTTAACTTCGATATTTTGTCCGTTTATTACATCTTCCTCAAATTAACCTACATGTGTGCCATCTGCTTCCTGGCTGATCTGTGTCTACTCCATCCGCCTGTGGACTTCCTGCCCCGATGATCTGAGCTGAGTGACAGGTGTGCTCCTGTGGGGGGCTGTCTCCTCACAGGTTGTGTATCAGCCACAGGAGGCGGAGCCAACAACGTCCAAGTCGGAGAAGCTGGACCCACAGCCTTTCCTGAGGGTACTGGAGGCCATTGACAATAAGTACCCACCCGAGGAGCGGGGTGACCTTCTCGTCTTCCTCAGCGGCATGGCAGAGATCGGCGCCGTGCTCGAGGCCGCCCAGACCTACGCCAGCCACACCCAGCGCTGGGTGGTGCTGCCTCTGCACAGCGCCCTGTCTGTGGCCGACCAGGACAAGGTACCCTGTGCGGCTGGGCCGAGGGGGGCAGGCAGGGGTCTAGCTTGGCCAGGGGAGAAGGAGGGGCCCAGGGAGGGGGTGTGATTCCACAAACCCAGGGCTGCGGGCTGCAGAGGGGGCTGCTCACGCCTTTTGGGTGGGGAAGTGTGTGCCAGGGTGAGCTTCCTGGTGAGGTGGGAGGCTCTGGGCCGAGCTTCGGATGGCAAAGAGAATCTGAGTAGGAGAGGGAAGAAGCCAGTGTAGGGAGGGGGACAGGCTCGAGCAAAGTCGTGGAGACGGGCATCTGAGGCGGGTGTGGGGAGAGGTCAAGAGACCACTGGCTGGAATGGAAGGGTGTTAGGAGAGAGGCCCTGGGTCACTGTGTTAAATATTTATTGCCATGTAACAAATTACCCCAAAACCTAGCACCTCAGAATAGTAAAAATTCAGGATCACATATAGTTTTTGTAGACCAGGAGCATGGAGTGGCTTAGCTGGATGGTTCTGGCTTGGGGTCTCTCCTGAGGGTGTGGTTGGCTGTCAGCTGGGTCTGCTGTTGTCCGAAGGCTTGACTGGGCTAGAGGATCCCCTTCTGAGACGGTGCACCCACACAGCTGGCTGTTGGCGGGGGGTCTCAGGCATGGTAGATGGCTCTCCCCCAGAGACCAGAGCAGAAGCCGCAGTGTCTTTGATGACCTAGCCTTGGGAATCACAAACCATCTTTCTACAGTATCCCACTAGTTAACCTGTTTTGCCCTGTTCGATGGGAAGGTTCTGGATGAGGGTGTGAGTCTCACTGGGGCTTCCTGGAGGCTGACTGCCAGTCACCTCGGGAAGAGTCTCTTCAGGTCACTCTCGGTTGTTTATTGATTGAAGAAACCACCTCTGAGTGAGGCCCTAGTGCTTCCCATTGCACTGAGGGGCCCCTTTGGGACACAGCGGCAGCCAGGATATGGCCCTTCCCCTCAAGCAGCTGCTGGTCTGTTGGAGGAGATGGCAAGTAGTCGACAATCTTACAGAGGAAAGTTCTGGATACTCACAGAGCAGTCTTGGTCTATTCAGGAAAGGCTTCCTGGAGGAAGGAACCCCCACAGCTGAGAGCTGAGAAAGCTGCAGCCTAGAAAGGGGGCCAGGAGAAGAGTGTTCCACCTATCGTGCTGGGAGCACTCACTGCATGTGGGCCTGAGTTCTGAGCTCTGAGCTCTGTGCACACCCGTCTCCTTCATTCCTCCTGGCAGCCCTTCTGCCAGGTCCTGTTGTTACTCCCATTCAACAGGTACAGAAACTGAGGCGTGGGCACTTGTGCAAAGTCACAGAAGGGGTAGAGCCAGGCTGTGGAACTTGGTCATTTGGCATCAGAGCCTGTGCTTTTAACCCAAGGTTAGCAAGCTTTCTGCAAAGGGCCAGGGGGTACATATTTTTAGGTTTTCTGGGCCATTTTGCCTCTGTCACGACTACTCACTGCTACCATTACAGCAGGAGAGCAGCCATAGGCTGACCAGGTGAGACTGTTTGCCATTAAACTTAATCTACAAAAACAGGTGGCAGGCTGGCTTTGGCCCACAGGCCATAGTAGCTGCTCCACACTGTTGATCATCATGCTGTCTCTTGGGTCCTGCGGTGAAAGATTGGGGTGGCTAGGGTCCAGATTGTGAGGGGAAGTCCGGAGAGAAGGGACTGGAGAGGAGGGCAGGGTGAGACCGCCAGGGGCCTTGAAGAGGGCGTGGTGCCTGGGCTTTGCCCTGTGTGCCCTGGGGGACCATGGAGGCTCTGGCCTGGGTGGTGTGCTGGAGGACGAGCACCTCTGAGATGGGGACTCGAGGGGGAAAGGGTGCAGCGGAAGGCCCTGAGGCTCTTTTGGCCATGACTGTAGGTGCCTGTGGGACATCCAGGAGGAGTCCAGAAGGGCACTGGACGCACGGGTCAGGAAGGGCTGAGTTACTCTCTGATGTCACCTCCTCGCTTCCCCTAGGTGTTTGATGTGGCCCCCGCTGGAGTCCGGAAATGCATCCTCTCCACCAATATTGCCGAGACCTCAGTCACCATTGATGGGATCCGCTTTGTAGTAGATTCTGGTAAGGGCTGTCCCCAACTACCCCAGGGACCTAGAGGGAAGTGTGGGGTTTGGAGACCTGTAGGTGTAGGGAGGGAACTCCAGACTGTAGCAGTGGGTAGGTGACATTTAGGGCTGGGAGCACAGACATCTCCATCTTTCTCAGACATTGCAGACTTGCTCCTGCCTCAGGGCCTTTGCACTTCCTGTTGTCTCTGCTGAGAGCTGCTTTCTCAGACAGCCTCATAGCTCACTCCCTCACTCCCTCACATCCTTTCAGACCTGCCTGTTAGAGAAGCCCACCTTGTCCACTTCATCCGAGCGATCTCCCCCTTCCCTTTCTGCTGTCGTCTCCCTTATGAGCCTTTTCTTCCTAGTGTGAGCATTGTATTTATATCTGTTGATACATTATTGCCTGTCTTCCCAACTAGACTCCTCTGAAAAGTCAGCTTAGCATTGTTGGGAGACACGGGAGTGGGCGTGGGCAGGTGCCCTGCCGGCCCTGTGACCAAGGTCACATCGGGCGATGCTGTGTGTGGCTGTTTGCTCACTGTGAAATGGCAGTAACAGCGTCTCCCTCAGCTCAGTGCAGGAGTAAATGAGTTAATAGGCTTGCGTACTTAGGATGGTACCTGCTGCAGAGTGAACACTGGATGATTGTTAGCAGTTACCTTATGTCTTAAATCCGGGAGGCCGTCGGTGATGAAACATTCCATAACTTTATGTACTACTAAGAAAATTGTAAAATGCTGTCCATTTAACACTGACATGCCATTGATTTGAAGGTGCATCCCATTTTCAGGGGCAGTAAAAGGTGAGAAAAGGTTGGTGTTAGAATTGATGAAATGTGGCCTTCCATTCAGCCCCACAGTTCACAGATCTGTTGAGACCAGGGGCTTTATTTTGCTCACAGCTGTAGCCCTAGTGCTAGTACAGTGCCTGGCATGCAGTAGGTGCTTAAATACTAGTCAGATGATGGAGCTTTTGAATAAGCAAAGACTTGAGAAAATAAATGAAAAGATGTGTGGATGAGGAAAGAATATTTTACCAAAATGTCAGGGTCGGGCCCAGAATAAACTCTTGGTCAGTGTTCACGGAATGAAGGAGCAAGTGAGGGTGTTGGAGTGAACAGCTGGGGGAGGGCTGCGCACGCCGAGTGCACAGGTGGCTACTGCACACAGATCCCCTCCCTTGCTGCCCCTCCTCCCCACAGGGAAGGTGAAGGAGATGAGCTATGACCCCCAGGCCAAACTGCAGCGGCTGCAGGAGTTCTGGATCAGTCAGGCCAGTGCTGAGCAGCGCAAGGGCCGGGCGGGCCGCACGGGGCCTGGCGTCTGCTTCCGCCTCTATGCCGAATCGGACTACGATGCCTTCGCCCCCTATGCTGTTCCGGAGATTCGGCGGGTAGCCCTGGATGCGTTGGTGCTGCAGGTGAGACGTGGGCAGGGAGGGGACTGCGTCCTGGATGTTGGGGCCTGGGACGAACTTGGGAGACGTTTAGACAGGCCCTGTCCCAGGATTTCAGGACCAGGAAGGGCAGGGCTGGGCAGGCCACTGAGTGTGACTCATCCCTTCCAAGTGTCAGATCCCATGTTTAGATATGAATTGTCTCCCAAATGCACAGAGTCATGGCTTAGAATGCCTTCAGCTGTAACAGAGTGGCCTTTAAAACCGGGGTTTCTGGATACATTTTATGTCATGACTCATGTCACAGTAGTAAGTTTCACTTAGGTTAGGCTGCTGGGACAAAAGACCCACACATACAAGGGCCAGCACAGCCGGAGGTGAGTTCTCAGGTTGGTGGGCTGCTTCCTGTATGCAGGGACCCAGGCCCCCTTCCTCCTGTGGCCCTATCGCCTCCCTGGGGTCTCTTCATCAGCTGTGCCGGCTAGCAGTGGGAGGTAGGAGCCTGGGGATGAGTTGGGGCTGGCGGAGGGCCAGGTCTGCTGGTAGTGGGTCCCTGCTGCTCACCCTCTGGGCTCAGAGCTGGTGGTGGCTGCAGCGCCCCACAGGGGAGGGTGGGCAGTGCCATCTCTGGGAAGTGGGGAGGAGCCCATGGCATCTGCCGCACAGGTGTGAGCATAGGAGTGGCCCAAACCAGCCCCCTTCCTGGGCTGATGCACTCGGAGAATTTGTATTTGACTTAATTTTTTTAAAATGCCAGTTATGACCCACTCTGTGGAGTTCCTGACCCACATAGCCTGCTGTTTGAAGAACACTGGCTTGAACAGTACGGAAAATGTACCATTTCACATAAGAAGTCAACCAAGCTAGGGAGGCTCCTGGCCTGGTTATGTGAATGGATCAGTGCCTTTATAAAGGGTTGGGAGCTTTTTCTGTTTTTCCAGCCTCTGTCTGCCAGCAGCTCCTAATAATTATTATCTCCTAATAATAATGATGATGAAGATCATGGCGATGGTACTTACTGTGGGCTAGGCACCATTGCTCTATGTACATAACTTGATGTTCACGAAAACCCTTTGGGGTAATCTCATCGTTCCAGTTTATGGATGAGGAAACAGGTGCACAGAGAGGTAAAGTAACTTGATGCAGGTCACGCAGCTGGCCAGCAGCAGAGCCTGCTTCACGAGTGCCCCCTGGCTCTGGCAGCTGTGGGTAGAAGCACCCTGAGGCAGAAGCAAAGAGCTGCCCCTTTGTGGGTCTTGCTTTTAAGGCCACGGGACCCTTTCCCAGAAGCCCCTGGCTCATCTCCCCTCCTGTCAGCAGAATTGAGTGTCAGGGTCACTGCGTCTGCTCTCTGACCTGGGGTTGTCCAGGGGCATGGCAGGGCCTGAGTGGCCAGAGCAGGGACTTGCAGACCCAGCTACACATTGGAATCGTGGAGAGCTTAGAAAACAAATATGTATCTTAACCCACACCCAGAGCTTCTAATTTAAAGGTCTTCTAATGAGTGTTGAGTGATCTCTCCAACATACCAAAGTTTGGTGCGCAGGGAGGAGGGTGGAATGGCCGGCTACCGGGTGGACGGCCAGACTCAGGGTACCCTCTGCATCAGGGCCGGGCACGCAGGTCCCTCACTGGGAGACTGGCTGAGTGCCCAGGCCCTCTGAGCTTTCCTTTCACACTCTCATGGGCACTCGAGCCACCATGCCAGCTCTTCCTTCACTCACCCTCAGGATGTACCGTTAGCTTATCCTATGCCACGCCTGGTGATAGGTATGTGTTTCACTTCACTGTCCCCACACCTGCTGCCACTCTGGACCTCTGAATTAATCAGGATTTCTTGGTCAAAAGTGAGAGAAACCCACCTGAAACTATTGTAAGCAGGAAAGGGGATTTTATAGATCTGTGTATCCATTGTGGGAGGTGTTCCTGGCTCAGGAACAATTAAGGATTCCTCCATTGACTGTGGGTGGGCCAATTTCCAGCAATGGGAAAATACACAGCAGCTCTGGGCTTCTGTCTGGGCTCCTCACACTGGAGAGGGTGCCGGCAAAGTCCTGGGGTGGATTCTGATTGGCCCAGCTCAGACAGCCTGGGGACTGAGAAACTGAGACTGGTTCAGCTTAGGTCGTGTGCTCGCTCCCTGGCCAGGGTCTGAGAGAAGAGGTGCTGGGCAGGCAGACAGATGGTGGCTGTCCCCCCCGTGTCTGCACGATGGGCCTTGACATTGGGAGTTTTAAAGTATTGCAAGTTTGCGATTGCTGACCCCTGCCAAATGCTCCACAGTGGCCCATGTGTTCCCCATTCCTGAGAGTTTCGGTTCTCATTCCAGATGAAGAGTATGAGTGTGGGGGATCCCCGAACCTTCCCCTTCATCGAGCCCCCCCCACCAGCCAGCCTGGAAACAGCCATCCTCTACCTCCGGGACCAGGGAGCCTTGGACAGCTCAGAAGCCCTCACGCCCATTGGGTCCCTGCTGGCCCAACTGCCCGTGGATATTGTGATTGGTGAGGACCTCCCTGGGGTGACCACCCGGAGCTCCAGCAGTGGCCGTGGCATACCACTCACTCTCTGAGTGACACATAGGCAAGCGTGTTCCTTCTCTGGGCTCTGTTCATTCACTCACAAGTCCTCAGTGCCAGGCACTGTTCCAGGCACCAGGGATCCAGCAGTAAACAAGTGTCTGTTTCGATACTTCTCTCTGCACAGCCCAGCCTCAGCTCCACCCTGGTGGCCCCTCTTTTGCTGTTGTAAGGACGCCAGAGCTGCCTGCTCCTTCCTCTTGCTCATTCCTGAGTCATCCCTGCCCCTCCCAAGAAGCTCGCTGACCAAAGCATGTTCATCTGGCGTGATTTTCCTGACTCGAGCCATTCTATTTCTGCCACTAATCTGCGGCCCACGGATATTCCTCACTGATCATGACACACCCTGCCCCTGTGGCACCGTTTCCCAACATGATGTTCTGTAGAACCTTCTGCCTGCGTTACGTCGTTGAAGTCTCCTGTCATTGCGAAACCCGGGAGCTTCAGTGCAGACAGGAAGCTGGGTAGCAGCAGCTCTGAGGGCCTCCCATGGCTACAAGATAGTTATTTTTCTTTGTTTTGAGAGGAAATAGGGCTAGAGCAAGGAGAATCAGATCTGAGAAGAAAAAGGACATTCTGTGAGCATTTGCTGTGTGTCAGACAAAGGCTTTATGGACCTTATATCAGTTCATTCTCAGCTGGTGAGGTCAGGGCCTCTGGGCGCCCCTTCGCACAGACGAGGCATGTGAAGCTCAGCCAGGGGTGGAGATACATGGAGGGTCTGGAGCACAGGAGCCATAAAGCCAGGATTTGATCAGGCAGGAGGCAGGGTAGGAATGAGTGACTCACTTTCCAAATGAGGAAAACGAGGCTCAGAGAAAGGTTGTCGTTTGCTCACCCAGTGTCACACATAGGGTAGAGCTGGGAGGTGACCTGGTCAGCAGTCTTACTCTGTGCCGGGTGAGGCCCTGAGCCCCTCACAGGTGAGACAGTTGATCCTCACAGCCAGGAGACCCTGCTGTTCACCCATTTCACAGATGGGGAAACAGGCCCAAAGGGTTGGAGGGACATGCCAGAGGTGACAGCTGGGGGTCCTGCACGGCCTTGTTTTACTGCCTACCTTTATTTTACGGGGCTAGATGTGTACTAGGAACTTTTCCAGAGAGGCCATCAGGGAGGATGAGTCAGACGCATGACGTGCAGGCACTGACGGGGACAGGCGGCTCACGTCTGGCTAGTGCAGCCAGGGAACGGGATTCCTGCCTTCCTGTCCGGGCTGCTGGCAGAGGGCAGTGGCTCTCCCCCCCTTCCTCCCCACCTGCCCCACTGTGCTGGCTTCCTCCCCCTTTCTCAGCCCCTCTCTTTCCTCCCTCTGGGTTGCCCCTCCTTCCTCTGCCTCCACCTTGGAGGAGAACCGAAGCTGTGGTGGCCATGCTGGCAGTAGTAGCCCTCGCCTCAGCGCCTGCCACACACCCAGGGAGGCGGGAACTGTGGTTCTCTCAGCTGCAGTGGGGACACCGAGGCCTTGCCCAAGGTCATGTAACCATAGTGCAGTGTGGGTTTGATCTGTCCCTCTGGGCGAGATAGAGGGAGGTCGGGGGGCAGGACGGGGCGGGAGCCCCCGAGGCTCAGCCTGGAATCTGCCCCAGGGAAGATGCTGATCCTGGGCTCCATGTTCCGTCTGGCGGAGCCCGTGCTCACCATCGCGGCCGCCCTCAGCGTCCAGTCCCCCTTCACCCGCAGCGCCCAGAGCAACCTGGAGTGTGCGGCTGCCCGGCGGCCCCTGGAGAGTGACCAGGGTGACCCCTTCACACTTTTCAATGTCTTCAACAACTGGGTGCAGGTGAGGCTGGTGACTGGGCCACATGTCTGTCTCATTCTATGTGGGGCCAGGGGCTCCCGGAGGCTGTGACTTCTCCTCATGCCTCCCACCCCTACCCAAGGGGGGCTTGTCTCCACCTTCCATTCCCACAGGCATGGGACCAGCACATGCAGGGTGGCGCCTGGATGTCCAGCCCATGTTCCCCGAGCCCCTCCTCGGGACCTGGCCCTGTGCTGGGCTGTACCGGGGATACAGTAGTGGCTAAGACCACCTGGACCTGCCCTCCTGGGGCGCACAGGCCAGTGCAGGGAGACAGACCCGTCCTAGACAGTGACCACCCAGAACGGGCTGTAGTGGGGAGTCCAGGGTGCTGAGAGAGCCCAGAGGGGATATCTGACCCCGTGTGGTCTGGGACAGCTTCCTGGAGGAGGGGACAGGAGGGCTGAGACCTGGGAGGAGAGCAGGCCTCCCTCCTGACCCATGTCCTCCCCATGGCTGGGGTTTGGGTCCATGCTGGGGTGGGCTGCCTGGTGGCTGGGCCCCCTGCCCCCTCCCCCAGCTGGAGGCCCTGACACCCTGGTATCTGCACCTCCACCCAGGTGAAATCTGAACGGAGCAGAAACTCTCGCAAGTGGTGCCGCCGCCGGGGCATAGAGGAGCATCGGCTGTACGAGATGGCCAACCTGCGGCGCCAGTTCAAGGTGTGGCTCAGGACGAGGCGGGGGTGGGGTGCCGGAGCGGTGTGGGTGCACTCCAGAACACACCCTTTCTCCGTTTGACAGTGATCAGAGTCCCTCCCTACCCCCACCTCCTCCACCACCAGCCAGCTGGGTGTGCGGGTGGCCCGGCAGGGCAAAGGGGTAGTGGTCCAGGCGGCTCCCGGAGGGGTGTTCACGGTCGGTGGTCACGGCATTCCTCATGAAGAGCCTCCCTCCATGGCGGTGAGCTGCTGCTCAGGTGGAGTGCTGGGAGGCCACATGGGGCCGTGGCTGGGGCACCGGATCTGGAGCCGATGTCCCAGTGGTGAACCCCAGCTCTGCCATTCACTGCCACTGTGACCCTGGCCACGCTGTTGCGCCTCTCTGGGCCTCAGCTCTCCCTTTGGGAACGGGGAGGATGAGAACAGCAGCTGCCTGCCTCATGGCCATCCTGTGGGGCTTGTGAGTTGATACATGGAGAACGAGAACAGCCCGCACCCACATGGGCCCCGTGAGGATTTGCAGAGTTCAGTGTCACTATGCGGTTCTGCCACTGGTTTGTGTCATTGATGTTCCGTGGGCGCCTTTCCACTGAGCACAAAGGGACCCTGCTTCTGTGCCCTTGTCAGGGGTCGGGTGGCAGGCCAACAGCGAAAGTAAGATGAGTCCTGTGTTCTCCATTCCCTTCAGTTACGGGTAGACAGATTGAGGCCCCAAGAGGGTGGCCACCCGACCAAGGCGTTCCATGCAATTTTAGGGGTCCTCACATTGGGGGCCACTGACTCCCGGCCATTCTCAGCAGTCACCATCTCCGGCCTTTTGGGCAGTGTTTCAACCTTTCTTGGGCCCCAGACACTGAGACACTAACGAAAGGTGGGCGTCTCACGCTCTGGGTTGGACACACACACACATGCACAATGTCTTGTGTCCCCCATTGGTCAGGGCTCAGTGAGAAACAGAGGGTTCAGTCTGGTACAGGCAGTGGGAGGCTGCTGAGGAAGGTGTGGCCGGGGGGAGGGCAGGGGGCTTCAGTACACACCAGAATCACCCTGGGGTCCGTGCTGGGGAGGGGTGGGTCTGTTAAATGCAGATTCCCTGTGCTGCCTGCTGAGATTCTGATTCAGGGTGAGGCCCAGGACTTGACATTTCTTTTATTTAATTTTTTTAGGTTTTAGATAATTTATTAGGCAGTAATAGATAATTGATACAAGCATACATGCCTGTAATGTTTAAAATAGATGACATTGTCCCAGATAATAACCAACAATGAAGGAAAGGTGTTATTACTGCCATTACCGAAAGTTCCTCAGAGTCATTTGAGTTCAAGCAGTTATACTGAATGTTGCTGCTCTTACAGTAAATACAACTTACCATATATAAACTAGTGTATTCAAGTTCATACTATATATAAAAACAATAAAATTCAAATAGCTGGCTTGCCCTATAATAATATTAATTAAGAGTTTGAAAAGAATCAGATCATCCCCCAGATACTTTTTGAATTAAAGAGACTGCTTAAATACACAAAAATAGGACTTGGCATTTCTGACAAATCTCTGGATGCCCCGATGCTGCCACTCCTGTTTGGAGAGTCACATTCTGAGAACCACATGTAGGAAACCCATTGGGCCAGGGCTGGGACAGCCCTGGAGGGGCTGTCAGAGTGTAACCCGCAGGAAGGGCCCTGGGCAGTGAGCGCCCGGCCTCCCGTACCCCCTGACCCCAGCCCAGGTGTTCAGTGGCCAGAGACAACAGTGGCTCTCATGGAGCAGCCGTCTGTGCCCACATTGTTGTTACACAGTCCCCTACAACCCCCAGCAACCCAACAGGAAGTCCTGGGAGGGGTCCCCATTTTCCATTTGCAGAAAATTAGAGCTCAGAAGGGTGAGATGGTTTGCCAGCAAGCAGACTGGAAGCTTGTCTGGCCCAGAGCGCACTTGGCCTGTCACGTCCCTGACGCGGGCTCCACTGCCCCCAGGAGCTGTTGGAGGACCATGGGCTGCTGGCTGGCGCCCAGGCCCCGAAGCCAGGAGACAGCTACAGTCGGCTGCGGGAGCGCCGGGAGCGCCGGGCGCTGTACCAGCTGAAGCGCCAGCACGAGGAGTGCGGGGCGCGCCGGCGCAAGGTGCTGCGGCTGGAGGAGGGCCAGGCCAGCGGCTCCAGCGATGAGGAGTGGGGCAGCGCGGCCTCCCGAAGGGCCGGCGACCAGGTGGACATCCAGGTGGGCACCCGGGGCTGTCTGCAGCCTGGGGCAAGTCAGGGTGGAGTTTACCAGAGTAGGGACATGGCCTACCTTGGGTTCTGAGGGGACACAGGCCTGCCCTGGGGGCTTGAGGGGGTACGGGCCTGGCCCGGGGTCTGTGCGGACACAGGCTCTGCCTGGGGTCTAAGGGGACACGGGCCTGGCCTGGGGTCTGTACGGACACAGGCTCTCCCTGGGGTCTGAGGGGACACGGGCCTGCCCTGGGGGCTTGAGGGGGTACGGGCCTGGCCCGGGGTCTGTGCGGACACAGGCTCTCCCTGAGGTCTGACGGGACACGGGCCTGCCCTGGCGTTTGAGGGGACAAGGCTTTGCCCTGCCCTCAGGAGATGGGTTTCCATGGATGGGCCCTGGTCCTGGAAGTCTGCAGAACCCCTGGGCCTGTATGTCCTAATAGTAGCCCCTGGGTAGTGGGGAGCCCCCAGGAACCCACCTCCCCTGCCTTCCCGCCAGGATGTGAAGTTTAAGCTGCGGCACAACCTGGAGCAGCTGCAGGCAGCTGCCAGCTCGGCCCAGGCCCTGAGCCGAGACCAGATGGCCCTGCTCAAGCTGGTGCTGGGCCGGGGCCTCTACCCCCAGCTTGCCGTCCCAGACCCGTTCAACAGCAGCCGCAAGGACTCGGACCAGGTGGGCCTCTCTGCTCCTGTCCCATGTGTGTTTTGTCACCCAGTGCATCTTCAAGGCGCTTACTCTGTGCTGGGGACACAGTGGTGACTGGAATAGTCCTGGCCCTGTCCTCATGGGACTCCAGTACAGTGTCGGGGACATACCTGTCCCAAGATATGACTCAGAATGGTTGGGGCTGGTCGGGGAGCCCAGGGGCTGGTGGAGCACAGAGGAACACCTGGACTGCCTGGGAGGACGTCAGGGAAGGCTTCCTGGAGGAGGGGATTTCTGAGTTGAGACATGGAGGGGGAACCTGGCCAAAAGAGGGGAGGAAGAGTGCCCTGGGTGGCAGAAGGAGCAGGTCCAAGGGCCTCTGTCTCCTGGCGCCTGCCTTTGGCCTTTCCAGATTTTCCACACCAAGACTAAGCAGGGTGCTGTGCTGCACCCCACCTGTGTCTTCGCCAGCAGCCCTGAGGTGCTGCACCCACAGGAGCAGGAGGCCAGGGGCAGCGAGGGGAGCCGAGGTACCGTGAGTCCAGGCCCCCCAGCCCAGCGCCCTGGGAAGGTGTGGGCCCCTGTGCCTTGCGGGCCTGTGCCCGCACCGGACGGGCTAGTTAGGTGCTTTGTCTGCACTCTGGAACCCAACCTGCCTTTCCCCCTGACTGTAAGGGAAGCGCCATGCTATATTAAAATGGTGAACAGACGAGGTTTAGTTTTATAAACGTGAGATAAAAACTTCTGTCTCTAATCTTTAACTGCTATAAATTCCTAGTCAGTTTACCCCAGTTGCATTGTTTTTTCCTTTATTTTTTAGTTTTGAGAAGTTCAGACATCAGGTAGAGAGTGTGGCGAGCCTGCAGGGGCTCACGCAGCCTCTGTGGCCGTCAACATTCTGCCGTCCTTGTTTCTTCTGTTTCCTTGCTTTTTTCCCCTTTTTCCTGGATAATTTTAGATCAGGTCCTGGACATCATAGCATTTTGTAATAATAGAAGTAAAGGCCATTTTCTGCATTATCATACTGCTGCTACCATTCCTGACAAAACAATGTTTCTGCAAAGCCATATTCATTACGACAAAGTATTTAAAAATAAGTGACATTTTATTGTAACACACATGAGCATATTCTTTACGTGGAGTGTCAATGGCCCATGTGGGTCCGGAAGCCCGTGGTGGGGGCTGGGGGGTCATTGGATGGCCCAAGGAGGGCCTGAGCTCCTGACCCTTTCAGATGACAAGGACAAGATGAGCAGCCAGCACCAGCTCCTCACCTTCGTGTCCCTGCTGGAGACCAACAAACCATACCTGGTGAACTGCGTCCGCGTCCCCGCCCTCCAAGTGAGTCCCTGCCCCGTGGCTCCCAGCCCCCGGGTTTGGTGACTGTCCCCAGGGCTGGAGGCACAGACCCTGCCCTTCATTCATTACCTGCTGAGCGGCTGCTGTGGGCGAGGAGCTGTTGGAGGGGCTGAGAACAGAGCAGTGAGCAAACAAGCCTGGTCCCTGCTCTCCTGGACTCGCCTCTAGCAGGGGAGGACAGAAAATAGCAAAAAAGACAGTAAAGTGCTAAATGATATGTCAGCCAAGGGTAAGTGTTCAGGGAACATAAAGGTAGGGAAAAGGGATTGGGGAGGGGTGGGCTGAGGGTGAGGGTAGGAGGCAGGTTGTCATGTGCAATAAGGTGATCAGGGTGGGCCTCACTGATAAAGTGCTATTGAGCAAAGACCTGAAGGAGAATAAGGAGGGATCCCTGGGGAATATCTGGGGTAAGAATGTTCTAGGCAGAGGGAACAGCAAGTGCAAAGGCCCTGAGGCACAGGCGTGCCTGCTGTGCACAGGAAACTGCTGGAGCACAGCTGATAAGGGGGGAGTGATGGAGATGAGGTCAGAGGCAGATCATACCAGAACCCCCTTCCTTCCTCCTCCCACCCCACCCCTGAGGCAGGAGCAGAGCTGGGATAGGGTCTGATGTGGGGTGGAAGCAGGGAGCAAAGCAAAAAGGCCCCTGTAGTCATCCAGGTGGGAAGGGATGGTGGCTGGACCAGGTGAAGGCTGAGTAAGTGCTCAGGATGCAGGTACACCTGCGCACCTGTCTGCAGCAGTAAGTGCGTGGCCCAACAGCAGGGGGGGTCACACCTGCGACCTCACTATATGTCACCTGCAGATCTAGGCTCCGCTATGATTCTCACTTTATAGAGGAGAAAACAAGGCTCTGGGGGCATGTCACTCGCCTAAGCCACTCAGTGAGCAAGAGGCTGAACCAGAGCTGCAGGGCTTCCCCTGCCCGTCAGGTGGGTGGCCCCATTACTTGGATGTCCTCGTTTCAGTCTCCGGGAACTTGGAGGAGAGAGACCCTCGGGGCTCCCCAAGCCTCAGGAGATTTTCTTGATGCTGTGCTTTGCACTGGCGCCATGGAAGCTGACTCTAGCCTGCTCGGCTGTGTATTTGTGCCGACACTTATTGAGCACCCTGCTCACACCAGGCACCAGTTACTGCTCCGGGTGCTGGGGTGCGGCCGCGGTCACAATCGGCAACAGCCCATTTTTGTAGGACTTGTACGTGAGTGGGGGAGGTGGGCAGTCAGCAGAAACACAAGTAAGTGTAAGCGATAAGGCCAGATGCTCGCATCAGTGCTAGAGAGAAGCAGTAGAGCCGGGGAAGGGGACAGCCGTTCGCTGTTAGTGAAACTCGAGGCCGCAAAGATTCGCCGGCTGAGAGGCTGCCTGGTGTTTCAGCCCCTCCTCCACCCGTACAGTTTGTTCATGATGGAGAATTTTCAGCACACAAGGTAGACAGAATAGCATGTTAAACTCGTGTTTCACCACCAGCCCCCCAAACGGCTGACCCGCAGCCAGTCCTGCCTTTCTGTCCCCATCCCATCCCATAGAGTCTCCCCCAGTATGGTAGCTTGACAGCTCCCAAACAGAAAAGGTAAGACAAGTCTGCAGCGGGTGCCCACTCCCACAGCCCCACAGACGAACAGGCGGTCTGGTTGCTTTAGCACACACCTGTCCCTCTCGCCACTCTTCAATCCGTTTTGATAGGTGGGTGTGCTTTTTAATTTTTGATGCATTTAAAAGTAAGTTGCTGCCATCAGCGCCCTTCACCCTTAAGCACTTCAGCATGCGTCCCATTAAGTAGCGTTCCATATGTGTTTATGGATTTTGAGAATAAAATTTATGTAGAGTGACATGCAAATGCTAGGTATGCCATTTGACAAGTGCTGACAGATGTCTGCATGTGTCCCCAGCCTGTGCAGAGGTAGACGTTGCCCTGAGCCGTCAGCCTCTGACGCAGGCAGGGGCTGTCCTGACTTAGGACATCCTCTGCATTCTGCTCTTTAGTCTTTATTAGTCTTGTCTCTCCAGGTAGAATGCCGGCTCCCCAGGGGCAGGGGCTTTGTCTTGTTCACACTGTGTCTCCAGCCCCTGGCAGTATGCCTGGCGTGCTGTGGGCATGTGGCCAGTGTGTGCGGGGCCCAGGTGGGCGACGGGCCCAGGCGGGCTGGGCTCTCTAAGCTGGCTTCCTACCCCTCATACCCAGTCTCCCGTCCCCTCTCTTCCAGTCCCTCCTGCTGTTCAGCCGGTCCCTGGACACCAATGGTGACTGTTCCCGCCTGGTGGCTGACGGCTGGCTGGAGCTCCAGCTTGCCGACAGCGAGAGTGCTGTCCGGCTCCTGGCGGCTTCTCTGCGGCTCCGGGCCCACTGGGAAAGTACCCTGGACCAGCAGCTGGCCCATCAGGCCCGACGGCAGCTGGGGGAGGAAGAGGAGGAGGCGGCTCCAGTCAGCCTCAGGGAGGTGGCAGCTCTGAGCAAGGAACTGCTGCAGTTCACGGCATCCAAGGTACGTGCTACCAGGGGCCCCTGGCTAGAGGGGCTGTCCACTGCACAGATTGACTCCAGAAGGCCTGGCTTCCAGTTCCTTCAGTGTGCACACATTTGGGGTTTTTTCAAGCCAGAGAGGTTGATGACAAGCCCAAAGTCACACAGCTGGTATGGGGTGAAGCCAGGATTTGACCCCAGAGCCTGGCTCCAGACAGACTCCTAGCCCCTGCAGGCCTCACTGAGCAGATGTTGATGAAGCGCCTGCTGTATGTGTGGTGCATATTACGGTTGTGCAGGATGTGAGAGGAAGCTGTGAGGTATCTATTTGTGGAAGGCAGATGGGCACAATTGGACAGAGCAGGTTTGAAAGCCCCCCACCTTTTTAAATAGAGAGTTGAGAATTACCCCGGATTCTACTATGTGCTGGGGGGGTGGGAGAGAAGGGTGTAATTCAGGATGACTTCCTGAAGGAGTTGAGAGACCCAGTGAGCCAGGGAAGAGGACAGGCTTATGTGCCAGGGGCAGAGGAGCAAGGTGGTCAGACTTAAGGTCTGGGTGTGGTAGTGACAAGGAGCAAAGAAGTGGCCTGGGGAAAACAGTTGAGATGGCAGCTGGAGCATCAGGGTGTGTCTTACACAAGCCTCTAGTCATAAGAGTCTGAAGCCATGTTATGATTGGCTCAAGCAATTAACCCCCATACTGGAAAAGTCCAGAGGTGGACTTCAGGCATGGCTGGATCCAGGTGTGCTGATACTATTTCCCCTATTTCCTGTCTTTCCTCAGGTGCCCTACAGCCTCCGGCAGCTCACAGGGCTGGAAGTCCAGAATCTCTATGTGGGACCTCAGACTGTCACGGCTGCCCCCAGCCTCCCTGGCCTCTTTGGCAGCTCTGCCCTGTCTCCCCACCCCACCAAAGGGGGCTACGCAGTCACCGACTTCCTCACCTACAACTGCCTCACTGTGAGCATAGACCCCCACCTCAGCCCCTCACCCTCCTGCCCCTGAAGGTGGGATTTCAAAGTCTTCCACACTACGAACCACATTCCAACTTAGTGTAGGAATGTGCTTTTAGAATGGGGCCTGCCATCCCCCAGGGGTTCCAAAAATGGTCCCAGGCTGGCAACTGGGGGCAGGATAAAGGGGCCAAGCCCTTATGTAGCCTTTCTGCTTCAGAGCGACACAGACCTGTACAGTGACTGTCTCCGCACCTTCTGGACCTGTCCGCACTGCGGCCTGCACATGCCCCTGACGCCGCTGGAGCGTATGGCCCACGAGAACACCTGCCCTGAGGCCCCGGAGAATGGTTCCCCAGGTAAGGACCTGTGTCCACCCAGCTGTCTGTCCATCCCACATTGATTTGCTAGACATTCTGGGCTTGACCTGAACCCTCTGGCCCTGCGTGGGCCACACCTGGACTTTGTCACAAAGACCTCGTTCCCGTTCCTTTGTGTCTGTCTCAGGTCTGCCTCTGTGTCTCTGTCTTTTTGTCTCTGTCGACTGTGTTCTCTTGTTCTTTTCTCTGCCCCACAGCTGTCTCTGCCTTGGCCGTGTCCACCCTGTTGTCACTTGGGGACACCCCAGTGAGCAGACCCAGCACAGAGTCTGCTGCAGTGCCCTGCACACCGCACACGGGCCTTGTGGGGGAGTCAGCAGTTGGGCCACATGGTCTTTACCCCAGGAAACTTCTCTGTCTCTCTTCAGTCTCTGTATCTCTCCTTGTGTCTTTCTCCGTCTCTCTCACCCCCTGGGACACAAAGTAAAGATTTGCCTGTGTGTGTTATTAATCAAGGAAGGCTTCCTAGAGGAGGCAGATTCCCCAAAGGCTGGGAGCACCTGAGCTGGATGCTGGGATCTGGGTGGGGCGAGAGCACACAGTGGAGTGCCCTCTCACAGCCTCCCTTCTCCCCTGTAGGGGCTGAGGACACCGCCCCTGAGCCCCTCCAGAAGGTGTCTGCCCTGCAGAGGCCCTACCATTGTAAGACCTGCCAGAAGGACTTCATGTTCACACCTACAGAGGTGCTGCGGCACCGGAGGCAGCATGTGTGAACCCAGCCGGGCTGCTCCTAGGCCAGGACCAGGACTCCCGCCTGAACCCCCAGGCTGGACTCAGAGCTGTGGTCTGGCCCCGCCCAGTGGGGAGAGGTGTGAAGATGTGAGTAAAATCTCATGTACTGGCCTGGACCGCCAGGCCTACACCTGCCCCACCTGGAAGTCACTGCTGCCCCTGTGGGCCTTCCCCAGGATCTAGCTCCCTTCCCTCCTGCTGCAGCGAGCCATCAAGTGTCCTGGGGCAGATGGGGAGGTAAGGCTAAGCAGGACTTCAGATTCCAGGTACAGAATGTCTTGGAAGACACAAACTACCAGAGCTTGCTCAAAAAGAAATCAGTAAATTGAGCAACTCTGTATTCTGTTAAGGAAGTTTACTTGTAGTTACAAACAGAACAGGCGTGGATGGGCTCACAGGTGACCTCTACCAGATAGGGAGGAAGGACATAAGCACCCACTCACGACGTGGAAGGGGACATGTCTGGACTATGAGGCCAGCATTGCCCTCCTGCCAAAACCAGGCTAAGACAGTACAAGGAAAGAAAACTACAGGCCGGTGTCCCTTATGAACAGATACACAAATCCAGCAACTCATCTTCAGAGATTATATAAAAATAAGAGTGCATTACAACTGAGTGGGGTTTATTATGCAAAGTTGGCTTAACATTTGAAAATCAGAGCAACTCACCACATTAAAAACAAAATAAATTTGATAAATTTCAACACCTTGTGGCCTTGGGCAAACCTGCCACCTCTCTGTGGCAGCATTTCTGTCTCTGACAAACCAACACAGCTAAACTTTTTCCTGGAGGTTTCATACATGGAAACCTCAGAAAGCCCATACGTGTATTTGTCTCTTGAGCTTAAAAACGATGCACATGATTGCCTCCGGCAGGGACTGCAGACTGAGTAGAAACCTCTCCAGGAGTTTTAAGCAGGAAGGGACTTAATAAGGGGATTGAGGGGCGGGGAGGCTGGAGCCCGCTCTGGGCCGGCCCTCGGCAGTGACACCCAGGACGGCAGCACAGAACCCACCCGCGGGGGGCGCTGCTGCCTCCGAGGCCGCCGCCGGAAGCGCTGGGCTCAAGAACGCCCATCCCGGCTGTGACCCTGGGTCACTTCTGCTTCTGGAGGGAGTCGACCCACTGGAACCTGGGCTACATCCGGCATCCAGCTGCGAGGACGTCTGGGAGATGCAGCTGCTGCCTCCTGCCTGCGCTGCCTGCGCGGGGCGGTCAGCCGGGCCCGCCCGGCACCTGCGCGGTGAACACGGGAGGCCGCGGGGAGGGCACAGAAAAGCGGACGTGGGGAAGGAAAGCAAGCTCCTCCGCGGCTCACCGCCCGAGGGCAGCCCCCTGCCCGGCGCTCCTCACACTGGGTCCTCCCTGAGGCTGACCCCAAGTGTTCCCCACATCCTCCAAAGTCCTGCCTAAAGCGGCCTTCTCAGAAACGGTGGTGAAAGATCCGAGTGTAGACAGCCCGCTGGCAAAATCCCACTTCCGGTTGCCCTTTTGGACTGTTTCTGTTGTCGGTTTTGCATACGTTGAATCCTTGTCCACAGATTGAATTCCTATTTTTAAAGTTTTCTCCATTATAGAAAATTTTCAGAAGCTGGAAAAAGTGGTAAGGAGAGAGAATCCTCTGGAATCCCCCGCCCAGGAGACTGCGGGCGCGCGGTTTGTGAGACAAGCTCCAGCGTGGGTGGCAGGCCCTCTCTGCTGTTTTCGGTAAACGATCATAACATAAGCACGTCCAGGTTACCACACGTGCGTCCCACCCCTCGCTCTCGGCCGCGGAGGCCTCCCTCCCCCGAGCTCAGGCCGGTCCAGTCCGTTACCTCATTTCCTCCCATTCTGCACAGGCCCCAGTGGACCTACCTGCCTTTGCATTATGCGTTTCCCCAAACTTACGGCTGTTTCCTTAGGGCACATTCCCAAGGGTGCAATCCTTGGCTCAGAAGTAAGAGCATTTGTGGGGAGTCTTTGGCACACACTGCAGAATCTCTGCTCCTTTTTAACCATCTGCATTTCTGTCCAGCTTACAAGAGAAATTGCCAGCACTTCGGCAAATCCTCAGTAGCACCTGCTATGTGCCAGGCAATGTTCTAAACCCTTCACATATATGGATTTGCTTAATCTTTGGCACAACCTAGCAAGATAGATACTCTCATTAGCCAACATTTTGTAGATGGAGAGGCTGAGGCACAGAGAGGTTGAGTAAGCTGCCCAAGGTCACACAGCAAGTCTGTAGCAGAGCTGGATTTGAATCCAGACTGGCTCCTGAGTCCATACTTTTAACCACAATTCTATGCTGCTGTCAGACATTCTCTTTCACAACCAAGTAGAGTTCCATGGCATAATTTATTCAGCCATCACCTGACTTGTGAGTGTTTCCATGGCTTCCAGTTTTCTGATATAATAAGGGGTGGGCCCAGGTTTTGTGGGGCCTGAAGTTCATACAGTTTTGGAAAAACTAGAATTACAAAGTTAGGTGCCAAGTCGTGGAAAGGGTTCACGCAAGGTTCACACCAGGCGGGAGGCCCTCAGCCATGGCCCTGGAGCGCCGTGGCCAGCCTCTCCCTGTCAAGGGTCCTCGTGGGCCTGGTCTCTTTTGGTCAGCATGACACTGCACATTGCACGGAGCTGTGGCCTGTTCACCCTGCTGTGTGAATTCATCACAACTTTATTCTTTTACAGATGGGTGTTCGGCTGCACTACAGGTACAAGTAATATTGCTCCAAACACCCCGCACCTGGCTTTTGGTGAACACATTGGTGCATTTCTGAGGAGTAAGTCCCCCAGGTGGAATGCTGGCATAGGCCCGACATCAGTTCGGGTTTAATAGATGCCTTGAAATTGTTTTCCAAAGTCGTTACACTAATCGGCGCTCCCCCCAGCAATGGAGGAGAGGTCCGCGTGTGCCAGCACTGACATGCTGGTGTCAGTATGTTTTATTGTAGCTGCTGCAGTGATATTTATTGCGGTTTGAATGCATTTCCATGATGACTAATGATGATAGTTATCTTTTCATGGGCTTATTAACAATTTATCTATTTTTTGTAGTTTATATTCAGTATTTTGATTCTTACAAAGGAGTATTATTACTGTCTTCTTTGTACATATAGTTTATATAATTTGTATATTTATATAATATATAGTTCTTTATATAATATGTCAAATATATATATTGTGGGTATTTTTTTCTATACTTGCCCTTCCATTTTCTTACAGCAGAAGTTTTAAACGTTGATGAAAGTTATCATTTTTCTTTTATTATTTGCACTTTAAAATTATTTTTATTATATTTTATCTATTTAAAATTTATTTTTAATAATTTTATTCTTATTTTCACATTTGTCCTTATTTTATTTTGTCATATATTTATATGTATTTGTTTTTGTTATTTTTATAATTTTATTTTTCATTATTGGTACTTGTTACATTTACTTTTTGTGTGCTACCTAAGAAATCTTTGCTTACCCCCACGGTAATGAAGTTTTTCTCCTATGTTTTCTTGTAGAAGTTTTATAGTTTTAGATTTTACTTTTAGGTCCATGATTCATTTCCAGTTAGTTTTTATGTATAACATGAGTTAAGAGTCAAGGCCCATGTTTCTACAGATGAATGTCTAATTTTTCGAGCATTATTTGTTGAAAAGATTATTCATTCCCATTTGAATTAATTCATCCCCCTTATGGAAAATCAATTGACTATATCCATGTGGTTTTATTTCTAGGATTTGTGTGACTTATTTGTTGACACTTACTCTGTATCACATTGTCTTGATTACTGTAGCGTTATAGTAAGTCTCAAAATCAGATAGTGTAAAATCCTCCGACTATATTCTTTTTTTTTTTAATGAGCTTGGGAAAGAATTTATTCATTTATTTGTTTTTATTAAGGTATTATTGATATACATTCTTATGAAGGTTTCACATGAAAAACAATGTGGTTACTACATTCACCCATATTATTCTGTGCCCCCCATACCCCACCGTAGTCACTGCCCATCAGTGTACTAAGATGCCACAGAGTCACTATTTGCCTTCTCTGTGCTACACTGTCTTCCCCCAGATCCCCCCCACACCGTGTGCCAATCATAATGCCGCTCAATCCCCTTCTCCCTCCCTCCCCACCTGCCCTCTCCACCCCTCCCCTTTGGTAACCACTAGTCCCTTCTTGGAGTCTGTGAGTCTGCTGCTGTTTTGTTCCTTCAGTTTTGCTTCATTGTTATACTCCGCAAATGAGGGAAATCATTTGGTTATTTGTCTTTTTCTGCCTGGCTTATTTCACTGAGCATAATATCCTCCAGCTCCATCCATGTTGTTGCAAATGGTAGGATTTGTTTCTTTCTTATGGCTGAATAATATTCCATTGTTATATATGTACCATATCTTCTTTATCCATTCATCTACTGATGGACATTTAGATTGCTTCCATTTCTTGGCTATTGTAAATAGTGTTGCAATAAAGATAGGGGTGCATATGTCTTTTTGAATCTGAGAAATTATATTCTTTGGGTAAATTCCTAGGAGTGGAATTCCTGGGTCAAATGGTATTTCTATTTTTAGTTTTTTGAGGAACCTCCATATTGCTTTCCATATGGTTAAACTAGCTTACATTCTCACCAGCAGTGTATGAGGGTTCCCCTTTCTCCGCATCCTCGCCAGCATTTGTTGTTCTTAGTTTTTTTGATTCTGGCCATTCTTACTGGTGGGAGGTGATATCTCATTGTGGTTTTTATTTGCATTTCCCTGCTAATTGGTGATGTGGGGCATCTTTTCATGTGCCTGTTGGCCATCTGAATTTCTTCTTTGGAAAATTGTCTGTTGATATCCTCCACCCATTTTTTTAATCAGGTTATTTGCTTTTTGAGTGTTGAGGTGTGTGAGTTCTTTATATATTTTGGATGTTAACCCCTTGTCTGATATGTCATTTACACATATATTCTCCCATACTCTAGGATGCCTTTTTGTTCTGCTGATGGTGTCCTTTGCTGTACAGAAGCTTTTTAGTTTGATGTAGTCCCATGTGTCCATTCTTGTTTTTGTTTCCCTTGCCCGAGGAGATGCATTCAGGAAGGAGTTGCTCATGTTTATATTCAAGAGAGTTTTGCCTATGTTTTCTTGTAAGAGTTTTAGGGTTTCATGACTTACATTCAGGTCTTTGATCCATTTTGAGTTTACTTTTGTGTGTGGGGTTAGACAATAATACAGTTTCATTCTCTTGCATGTAGCTGTCCAGTTTTGCCAACACCAGTTGTTGAAGAGGTTGTCATTTCCCCATTGTATGTCCATGGCTCTTTTATCGTGTGTTAATTGTCCATATATGCTTGGGTTTATATCTGGGCTCTCTAGTCTGTTCCAGTGGTCTATGGGTTCTGTTCTTGTGCGAGTACCAGACTATATTCTTTGTCAAAATACTTCTGGCTTCTAGGTCCTTCCTGTGCTTCTTCACAGGTGTTTTAAAATCAGCTTGTCAATTTCTACAAAAGCCTGCTGGGATTTCAACTGGAATTGCCATGACTCTGTAGATATTAGAGGAAATTGACATTTTGACATTTCAGCAATAGTAGCCTTCCAATCCATGAGTATGGTGTACCTCTCCTTTTAAAAAATTTACTGCAGATCTTCTTTAATTTCTCTCAGCAGTGTTTCATGGTGTAAAGACCTGTACAACCATAGAGCAAGCCTGTAGGCCCCAGTTTGGGGGCCCCTGGTGCTG